AGAGGTGATAACACAGCTCCACACAAAAACTTACATACCAGTATTCATAGCAGTACTATGCATTATAGCCAAGAAACAGATATAAGCAGTCCATCAGCTGATTAATGAATCAACCAAATATGGTGTATTATTTGGCAATAAAAAGGAAAGTGAAGTCCTGGTACATGCCATTACAAGAGTGAACCTCGAAAATATATGTGGTCACAGAGGGCAATATATTATGTTATTCAATTTTATGACATGTTCAGAAAAGGCAAAAAAGAGGAAGTAGATTAATGGTTGCCAAGGATTATGGGAAGGGGGAATAATTGCTAATGAGCATAGAGTTTAATTTTGGGGTTATGAAATTGTTCTAAAATTAGTGGTAATGGTCATGCATCTCTATACTAAAAATTATTGAAATATACACTTTTTAAAAGGCAGATGTAAATCTGTTATTTCTTAAAAGGTAGCTTTCATATTTAATCTATTTGCAGTGAGAATATATTTGTGTGTTAATGGTATAAATTATTAGGTGATTCCTCAGATTTTTTTTTTTTGGGGGGGGGGGGTGCTAGGGATTGAACTCAGGGCTTTATGCATTCAACTGAGCTATATCCCCAGCCCTCCCGACATACTTTTTATCTCAGTGCTCTCAGACCCTAGGCTGTAGAGATTATTGCAATGAACATGTAACACAGAGAAGTTAAGGCCTGTAGCCCTGGAGGTAGGTGGGAGACATGGAGTCAGAGTAAGGAAGGGAAAAAGTGAAGGCCAGGGTAGAATTTTCATATTCTAGTTCTGACATAAGAATAAAATGCAAAAATGCTCAACATCTCTAGCTGTCAGAGAAATGCAAATCAAAACCACCCTAAGATACCATCTCACTCCAGTAAGATTGGCAGCCATTAAGAAGTCAAACAACAACAAGTGCTGGCGAGGATGTGGGGAAAAGGGTACACTTGTACATTGCTGGTGGGACTGCAGATCGGTGCAGCCAATTTGGAAAGCAGTATGGAGATTTCTTGGAAAGTTGGGAATGGAGCCACCATTTGACCCAGCTATTCCCCTTCTTGGTCTATTCCCTAAAGACCTAAAAAGGGCATGCTACAGGGACACTGCTACATCGATGTTCATAGCAGCACAGTTCACAATAGCAAGACTGTGGAACCAACCTAGATGCCCTTCAATAGACGAATGGATAAAAAAAATGTGGCATTTATACACAATGGAGTATTACTCTGCATTAAAAAATGACAAAATCATAGAATTTACAGGGAAATGGATGGCATTAGAGCAGATTATGCTAAGTGAAGCTAGCCAATCCCTAAAAAACAAATGCCAAATGTCTTATTTGATATAAGGAGAGTAACTAAGAACAGAGTAGGGACGAAGAGCAGGAGAAGAAGATTAACATTTAACAGGGATGAGAGGTGAGAGGGAAAGGGAGAGAGAAGGGAAATTGCATGGTAATGGAAGGAGACCCTCAGGGTTATACAGTGGAGGAGGTAGAGAGAGAGGAGGGGAGGGGAGGGGAGAGGTGGGGAGGGGGGAGGGTGGAGGACGGGAAAGGCAGCGAAGCACAACAGACACTAGTATGGCAATTTGTAAATCAATGGATGTGTAACTGATGTGATTTTGCAATCTGGGTATGGGGTGAAGGTGGGAGTTCATAACCCACTTGAATCAAAGTGTGGAATATGATATGTCAAGAAATTTGTAATGTTTTGAACAACCCACAATAAAAAATTAAAAAAAAAAAAAAGAATAAAATGCTTCTAGACAATGGGCCCTGTTCTTCCCTGTCCTTTCCTAACCCAAAGGTCCTCCACTATCTTTGAAGGCTCAGCTCTGGTATCACTTATTAACAGTTTTGATTCTTCAGGAAGCTGCCCCTGAGATGGAGTTAGGAGTACAAAGAGTGTAATTGGGAATAACATTGGTGAAAGAAAAGAGGAGAAAACAGGACTGGGCAGAGGGAGTGTCAGACTATAATGCAGACCTACCACATGTCTCCGTCAACTGGATAGGGAAATCTGCAGCTAAGGTTTCCTACCAGAAGAGTTCTGTGCTGGGTGGAACTGGGTGGTCCTAGCTTCCAGTCACTAGCTAGGAGCCACACTGAGAAGAGCATGGATTTGGTTCAAAATCTGGAGTAGGTCCTAGACAACCTAACAGCTAGAGGCAGTCAGCTAACTGTATTTCTTGAGGCAGCAAGTGTTTCCTTAAAGGGGACATAGTAGCACTTCCAAGTCTGTCACCCCTCTGTGTGAAATGTGTCTTGACTCTCTCCTCTCAGCCAAGGGAGAGGCAGTTGCTCTCTCCTGAGAAAGAACATTCTTTCATCATTCCTGGTTTATCATTTGTCCCCTTGTCCCTAAATTCTGAACTCTTGGTAGATAAACTCGGTCTGAACCCCTAGTATCTAATACAGAGGAGGCTTCCATGGGCTAGCCTTGAGACCAGGTACAGAAGACTGGGAGTACATAATTATTTGCCACTTTCTGTCCCTTACTTTTAAACCTCCACATTCCCGAGGGGACCCGTTTTTGTTTTGTTTTTTATCATGATCAATTTTATTTTTTTAATATATTTTATTTTTATTTTGTTTTAATTAGTTACACATGACAGTACGATGACCTTGACATATCATACATTTGAATCAGATGGGATATAATTTCTCATTTTTCTGAGTGTACAGGTTGCAGAATCACATTGGTCATGCAGTCACATATATACACACAGTAATAGTAATGTCTGTTTCATTCTACTATCCTTCCTATCCTCCCAACCCCTCCCCTCCCATCACTTCTCTCTACCTAATCTAAGGTAACGCTATTCTTTTTCTTTCTTTCTTTCTTTTTCTTTCTTTCTTTCTCACATCTTTATACATGTGTTTTGTTTAATGATGAGGGTCTTCTTCCACCATCCATGTAATTCCCCTTCTCCCTCCCTTTATTTCCCACCCCTCTTCCCTATGCAAAGGTACTCTTCTTCCCCTGCCCTTCCTCCCTACCCCATTTTGAGTCACCCCAAGGGACCCATTTGGGGTTCTAACCCCTTTTTCTCTGTGCCCTTCACATCTGTTGAGGACCTCATGGCTTAAATACAGTCTATATGTCATATGCCAGTCTTTCAAATTTATCTCACTAGCTCATCCTTGTCCCCTAAAAGCCAGATTCATTCCTTACTCATAAGGAATTCCTTACTCTTTATTTTGAATATATGATTAGGTATCCCAGCCCAACAGGTCTACAAGTGAACTACTGATTTTATTGCTAAAACCTTCCTCCTCCATTAATAAGTAGCAACTCTACTATACTTCTTGCTTAGATCAAAAAGTTGAAGTTAAACTTGCCTCCTTTCTTCCTCTTGTACCCTTAACAAATCCAGTCAGTTTTGTCCCGAATCTGAACACTTCTTTCCACTAAGCTGTGATTAGTGTTGGTACCTGAAGTAGCAAAAATTGGTTTCCCTGATTTTTGCCTTTGTCTCCCTTTCTCTTGTCTCCCCAATTCTATTCTCAACACATCAGCCAAAATGATTCTTTTAAAATATAAGTCAAGTCATGTCACTCCTCTCCTAAATCCTACAGTGATGTTCCATGGCTTCCATTCTCATAGTAAAGGTGGTTGCATTGTCCACAAATCCACACCTATTCTGATCCCCTACTTCCTCCCAACCTCACCTCCTATCTATCCCTGTCACTCTTAGCTTTAGCCACACTGGCCACTTTGTTGTTCCTTGCCCAAAGTTCTGCCTTGGGGCCTTTGCTATTATTTCATATGTTATACAAAGCTGGTACTTCACTTTTCTTCAAGTTTCTGTCCAGATATCATTGTACCTCAATTCTTAGTGACACCTTCCTTGATTGACCATTCTATTTAAAATTGTATCACCTTCCTCTAGCACTCACATCTCCTTTGATTTGTTTCTGAGAGCACTTACTACCATATAAAATTATATCTGTTTTACTAATATATTTTACCATGTCCCCTCACTTAAAAAGTAAACTCTATAAGGGGTAAGATTTTTGAAAGTTGTAGTTTCTCCTCTCTTCCAGTAGCCATTAAGCATCTGACACTTACTAGGCCTTCAGTTGCTAATGGGCTAGGTCATTAATAAGTTCCTTTACTGTCCTATGAGAGTATTCCCATTGTGCAATTATGGTGGCCTTCTACACCAACCCACATTCTCAGTGGGACATACTAGAGCCATTGTTCATGTCTGAGGGAGCTCTCTGAGTCCAGGTTCTCTCAGTGAAGAAAGGCATTGCAGGGGAACACAGACACATTTATACTAACAAGGGCACAATCTAGAAAGAGGTCCTATGAACCAGACTGTCCCATTTCCTGTAGTATATAACCAGTAGTCCATATATATGTTCTGCAATCAAGAAAAGGAAAAGAGTCTCTTCTAAAAAACTTTGGTGAAAATTGTGTATTTTTTTAATCTTACTAATGTACAGTATAATAGGTTTTGTTTCTATAGTTAAGGATTTATTCCATTAGTGAGGAGAAAATTAATTTAACCACTGATTTATAGTTTTTCGATTTTTAAGTTTTAAAAAATATTATATGCATGAGCTGTGTAGCACAGATTACATACAGGAAACTATACTGGTACTTCATTGTTTTAAAAATGGGTAGTTATGCCAGTCACAGTGGTCTATGCCTATAATCCCAGCAACTCTGGAGGTTGAGACAGGAGGATCTCAAGTTCAAAGCCAGCCTCAACAAAAGTGAGGTGCTAAACAATTCAGTGAAACACCCTGTTTCTAAATGAAATACAAAATAGGGCTAAGGGTGTGTCTCAGTGATCAAGTGCCCCTGAGTTCGATCCCCAGTACCAAAAAAGAAAAATTGGCAGTTACTCTGATACATAAAAATGCCATTTGAAAATTCCACAGCATCTTTATGTTGAGTTTGTGGTGTCATAATTGACCATATATCAAAAGTGGTAGATTCAATAGGTTACTGAAAGAGTTGAGTTTCATTATTGCTACTTAATTTCTTTTACAGGGCAAAATTCTAAAAACATCAGTTCATCTCCAAGCATTGAGAGTTTGCCTGGAGGAAGAGAATTCACTGGCTCCCCACCTTCATCTGCTACTAAAAAAGATTCCTTTTTTAGCAACATCTCCCGGTCCCGCTCACACAGCAAAACTATGGGCAGGAAAGAATCTGTAAGTATTTGAAGACCCCTTATTTGGTTTTTATTCTTCATTTTCCTCTAGACTATTGCATTTACAAAAGCTCCCCTGGTGCCCATTTTTATAAAGCTCTTATAACTTTCATGAACTAAAACAAATTATTTTATCAAAAGTATCTTAGTTTTAGTAGTATAATTTAGTAATATTTTAAGGCTATGTTCTTTATTAGAGGGGGGAAAGGTAGCATTATTAAAAATGAATTTAATCTTTCCCAAATCCCTGGACTGTCCTTCTGTCCTCTGCAAAATGCATTTTTGTCAAAACCCATTTTTTTTCTGAAATTTAACAAATAACATTATATCAGTGAGAGATTATGACATTTGAAATAAACCAAGCTAATTTTTCCATTTTAACTATTTCTTAAAAAGTAAAAATAATTATCTTACCATTTGTTTCTAAAAAGCTATAAACTACATTTAAGTTATAGTGTTTTGATAGTTGCTCTGTAAGATCCCTTGTATACATTTCCCAATAGGACGTATCTAAAGCATATCAACTGCTTTAAAAATTTTTGTTTTGTAGGCAGGGGCTGGGGCTCAGCGGTAGCACACCTGCCTGGCAAGTGTGAAGCACTTGGTTGGATTCTCAGCACCACATATTAATAAATAAATAAAGGTCTATCAACAACTAAAACATATTTTTAAAAAAATCTGGTAGTATCTGAAATCTTTATAAAATAACTTTATAAAACTTTGTTTAACCACATTTTATGGCTAGTTCAACACCTGATATACTAATATGAACTCGTATGCTCACTTTAAGATGAAACATTGTAATAGTAATACAGGATCTAGCTATAATTGGAACAGACCTAAATTTGGGGGCAAAATGAACTACAAAACCTTACAGGAATGATAATTCAAAGTATATAGAATAAATAATATGGTATCTATCTTTGTGATTTTGGATGTCCTTGAGTAAGATAATCAGCTTCCTGGTATTTCAACTACTACATCTGCAAATTAAATAATATAAAGTTATACATCACATAATGATGGGGCTGTTCTGAGAAATACATTATTAGGCCATTCCATTGTTCTGTGAACATCATTGAATGTACTTATATCATCTAAATAGCTATGATATCACTGACATAATCCTATGGGATCACTGGGGTTCGTCATTGACCAAAACATTATTTTGCAGCATATGACTGTACTTTGCTCTCTGAAGGGAAGAGTTCACTGCATGCTGTCTTCAGATCCCTTTTATTTAGAAACTGTAATTCTATAATTTAAAAAACAGCACAATAGAACAGTTTTGTTTAAAGATGGCACCTTTAGTGTGACCAATTTAACTCTGCTCCCTTGTAAAACTCCAGCCTAAGGAAAATAAGGGTAAAGATTAACCCTGAAAGAATAAGAAAACAAAAGAGAAGACAGCAGCAAAAAAAAAAAAAAAAAATTTTTTGTTTAATGTAAAGCAGATAGCAGTTGGTAACCAAGTACTAAGTCAGTAAGTAAAACCCAAGAAGCAAGTGCATTTAGGTTGTGAAATCCTCCAGGAACTCAGGAACTGAGAATGAGGATAAAAAGAGAACTGAAGGGATGATAATTCATGGAAGTATTTAAAGAATCCAGTTTCTTTCCCCACTTAAGTAGAAGATCAGAAGTCTCATTTCCAGAGAAGCATAAAACAGAGCATCAGGCACATTCACTATGGAACTACCCTACTGGAAAAGGGGTGATGAATATACTTGAGTCCTAAAGTTTGAGGATACCATGCCACCACCCACACATGCACACAGAGGCTCCTCCTGTTGCTTCCCTGAGCACCAATATGCTCAACTCTTCAAGCAGAATATTGGAAGAGTTTTCTTTAGGCACACACACAGATGGGGTGTGTACAAACTGTATGTTTACATGAGAAGAGGAGAGAGCAGGAAGGTGGTGGTCAGTAGAACTAAATCTCCTTCCATAGTGGGAAAACAGTGGAGAAAAATTTAAAAGTAACAATACAAACTAACAAAAAAAACCCAAACAAAAAAAAATTGAAAGAGGTTACTTCTGGGAACAGGAAGTGGAAGGTAGTGTTGTGGGAACTGTCTTTCATAACAGGCCCTGTAGAACCATTTGACTCTTCAGTGTTACACAGTTGACTTAGATTTAAAATAATAACTAAAAATTACAACAAAAATAGAATGCATTGGCATGATAAATTAGAAGAGCTGTCTGTATGAAGAATCATGTATGTGAAGAGCCAAAATAAAGGAATAACAAATGAGAAAGGCATATGGAGACATGTTTCATTTGCATTCTATTATATTTTTGGTAGCATATGGATTAGTCTACAATATTAATTAATTACATCTCTTGATGGTGATATTTTAACATAAAACTGAGAAGTTGAACAAAAATAGAAATAGGGTAACCAAGAGACAGAATGGAAGTGATCATTCAAAATTTAATGTTTCCTAACCTGTGGGGAGAAAGTAGGCAGAAATTTTTAAGAGAAAGTTCATGGTTTTTTAAGTAATACAGTAGTTTTATTATTTTATGAAATAGCGTGTGGTAGTCAGTTCTCTTTGTCATCTCTTGCTAGGATTATACCTCCTTGTCCCCTGTGATCTGTCAAAGTCATGTGACTAGTTTTGTCCAGTGAATTGTGAGTGGAAGTGATACACATGTATTGCCACTGCAAAAGCCTCCACTACTCAAATTTTCTCAGGCACAAAGAGCAGAGTCTTCCTGTCAGCCCAGGAAGTACATACATGAAATATGCGTGAAATATGCTTTGATTGATGTAAGCTTTGATTGATGGTTATCACAGCCTAACAGTGCATAGTTGGAAAATGCTCAGGCCCACAGCTGGCAATCATTCTCCCATGGGAGTGATGAGCTACTTAACTGACATAGGAGTAGTCTCAGTGTCACCAAGCCTGATTAGGTACCCACCATCCTTGCACCCACTTTGCTTTTATTTCCAGCTCAGTTTGGTGTGAAGAAGGGGTAGTGTCCTTGAAAAAGCTCAAGATAGTTTTTTATTAAGTCATTATCATCAGTTTCTCACACCAGCAACTGGTCAGAAATTGAAACAAGATACCTGGAATTAAACTATATGATGCTTTTCAGATTTCAAGATTCCATTAATCTTTTAAAGCAGTCTAGCATCAAGAGTGTTGATGTCAATTATCAAAAAGTTACAATAGCAGTTGAAAACTGACATAAAACCAAAAATAACCTAGTAATAGCTATCATCCCAAGTGTGGTGAAATCTGCTTATAATGGTATTTTGAGAAATGATTTTCAAAATCAATACAGGTGCAACATATCCTGGATGAGCATCACATTATGTCGCAGAACTTTTTCCCTCTTTGTATCGCCTGCATGTGTACCATGTAAAGCCCTTTTGTAATCTGCAGGCTATCTTCTTTAGATAAAGATACATCTGGCCATATGAGAGGGCCATATTTAACTAAAATGCTAAAGAGGTAATAGATTAAGCCTTGTGCAGATGTTTATAAAAGACATCATTAAACTTCTTTACTGAACTGTGAACAAAGTAGAAAGTTTTAAAAATTGGCCTCACTTCACTACCCATCATACCATGGTTTTGAAGATTGGTATTTATTCATGAAGTCAGTTTTCTTTCTGTCTTATTTCTCAAAAGAGCCTTTAAGTCTTACCTAATTCAAACTAGGTTTTAATTAAGCTCATTTGTCTTGAAGAAAAGTGGAAAATGTTGATACTTTTAATATTTTATGCTTTATTTTACATGACAAGTGTCATCCAGTACTCAAGTTTCCTAGAAATGTGCTTTTTAGTTGGTCATTTATCAAATAAATTTTTAGTCATGTTCTATGATTGTTGCTAAATTATTTTCTAATGGTATCTTTGCTGTGGTTACAGGATAGGGAAGATAATGAATATAAGGAAAACTCTAAAAGTGACTTATGTGAATAAATTCTAATATTTTTAAAAAAGGATTATTTTTTTTAGTTCCTGAAGAACTGCAAGACATTTTGCTATGTTTATGATAATTATATATCAATCTCCAAAAACCTGAAAATATCCATGATTCAGAATTCTCGAGAAAGGACAGAAAAATCAAAAGCTTCCTGAGCTAGATATCCCTACCTAAGACAGGATGCATAATGATAAACCTACCACCAAGGGTTCATAGTGCTTCTGAGGGGCTCACCCCATGTGTTTATAACCCCTGCATTCACACCTCTTTGCCCCTTAGTATAGTAGTCTGAACATACACCATGGTCATACTAATAGGACTGAATCCTATAATATTCTTTGGTCTATTCTTTATCATGACAGAATAACAAAAAGTGTCAGGTGAATGAAAAGAAAGTGGATTCTTATTTGCCTATTGAAGTAGAGACAACTTGAACATTACCTAATCTACTTCTTGCCTTATTTTTTTTTATTGGTTGTTCAAAACATTACAAAGCTCTTGACATCATATTTCATACTTTAGATTCAAGTGGGTTATGAACTCCCATTTTTACCCCGTATACACATTGCAGAATCACATCGGTTACACATCCACATTTTTACATAATGCCATATTAGTAACTGTTGTATTCTGCTACCTTTCCTATCCTCTACTATCCCCCCTCCCCTCCCCTCCTATCTTCTCTCTCTATCCCATCTGCTGTAATTTAATTCTCTCCCTTTTTTTTTTTTTTTTTTGTATTTTTTCCCTTTCTCCTCACAACCTCTTATATGTAATTTTGTATAACAATGAGGGTCTCCTTCCATTTCCATACAATTTCCCTTTTCTCTCCCTTTCCCTCCCACCTCATGTCTCTGTTTAATGTTAATCTTTTCCTCTTGCTCTTCCTCCCTGCTCTGTTCTTAGTTGCTCTCATTATATCAAAGAAGACATTTGGCATTTGTTTTTTAGGGATTGGCTAGCTTCACTTAGCATAATCTGCTCTAATGCCATCCATTTCCCTGCAAATTCCATGATTTTGTCATTTTTTAGTGCTACGTAATACTCCATTGTGTATAAATGCCACA